AGGAAGCACGCTTTTTAATGACAAATATCGTTGATTCGAAAAAGGTTGAGCAAAAAAACCCTCGCAAGCCGTTAACACCAGCGCTATTGTGAAGATCATCACTCCAAGCATCCACCATTTCTTCCTTGATGCTCATGCACGTACCCTGGACCCGGATTGGAAGACAGATTCCAAAAAACATTGCCAAACGAAGTACTCAGTATCCTTCCTGTAAGCGGGTTCAGCTCTATTAAGGTGGTTGAATTCAGGCTTGGTATATGGAGTGCACCGTGTTTTTAGTAGCCTGGGAGTATATGATGTTGGTGCCCTTGGGTATACATAGCTAGCCACAAATAAACTGCCTGATATAACTATCCGCTGTTCAGAGGTATTACGGTGAGCTGGATCGAGTTAGATGGGGTAAATACCAGCCTCTGTATTAGGTTATTTCTCATGATCTTCATTACTGTGTGCTAATTCAACGGAGCATGCGTCACCTCCTCAAGTAGCTCCAGTAGCCGCTATCGGTGGTTGCGTTCCCAAATTCACGGTGTTTGTAGGTCCTGGATAACCTAACGGATCCCTCGACAAAGCAAAAGGATTTGATTGAAATGGTGTTCGCCCAATCTTTCTTGTCCCACAGTTAATCATGGTCTCCATTTATTAGGGCGTTAGTCGTCAAGTCAACCCCAGGAGCTTTTAGCTTTCCTCTGAGGCGAGCCTGAATTTCTGCCCACAAACCCGGTAGTATGCTTCTGCAAAGCCATCTCCTAGTGTCACAAAACTTGTAACCCAGTTGCCGCATTGACAATCCAAGAACAACATGCATCGTCATAATGAACAAGATTAGGGAAAGTAGATCACTTCCCTGCGTCTACGAAACTGCGAATGAAGGAAAACTGTTGCAGCACTATGCATTATGTTATGTATTATGGATTGAGCTGCTATAAGTTTATCGGCAGATCTGATGAAAGCTACACGCAAGGTGGGGTTCAAAGTTTCCTAGATGTTAACAAACACCCACCGGAATCTAGAGGCTGAAGAGTGAGGGAGCAAAGAGTGTAGCAGCTAGATAAAGTACAAACAATATTCTCGATGTTTAAATTCACAATAAAAGCAGTTAAATTCCATCTGCCAGAAACCGTTTTATGAAGTTATAACACAAGAATTGATGACGCAGAAATAAGTCTCATTTGGTTTGCTGAAGTTAGACTCAAGATCATCAGAACTAAAGTGATCCGGGCAAAACAGAAATGTAGTAAACAGCCTCCAGATAATAACAACAGGTTGAAGTACCCAGAAAGCGCACCGATACCAAACTCATGTAGCAATCCATTCGAGAGCTTGTCTGAACCTGGGAGCAAATGGATGTTACAGCCAGCTTCTTCCCATGTATTAGCCCGTCCTAACTTAAATCCGATGTCAGCAGCACGCGACTAGGTCAGCCATCCATGTGTTTTGGAGCAGAAAGCACCTATATGTGGTAACATTCGGCATTCGAGGATACGCCGCAGTTTCTCTTGTATGATCCTTACAAAACCCATTCAGCACACAGAACACTGCATCTCTGGTAGTATAAGGTCTGGGTGATGATGCAGGACTAGGTGAATCCGCTTCGGTCGGCCGGCACACGGGGAACCTTTAGGAGATGGTTGAGACAAACGGGCTTCGAGTACGGAAATGTCTTGGATACCTGGAACTCCAGAAGTGATAGAATATTCTCCGGTGCTGTAATGCCAGGTCACAATGGTGGAGCAGAGACAAAAAAGTTACCATTAAGTGGTGAACTGTCGGAATTGGATTCCAAGGGTGGTAAGGTGCAATTAACGGTTTGCCCGAACCAGATGGTGTGCATAGACTTCAGAGTCGGGCGAATGTAAAACTGTTTGACCTACATTCTGGTCGGTGCCACTAGACGACGATTTGCCTGTGTGTTTGACAGTTAGGGGATGTCACCAGGTTCCGATAATGATAGACGTTCTGACAGGAAGACGTTGTTCCAGTCTTTCGAGCAGCGCGATTTGCGTATGACAAGGCATATAACTTCTTAGTCGGGCGTAAGAGTATCTGTGACTATCGTTGGAACCAGCTGCCAAATCTGTTTCCATTACGCTGAGCGGAATACCTGTGTTAGTGATGTTGCTGCGGATAACTTTTTCGGAAACCGACGAGGACAATCAGCACAGGCCAATAAAGTGACCAAATGCGAGCCAAAACTTCAAAGGACTTGAGTTAACTGATGGTCTACCAAGCCAGCCACAGTCCCCACACACCAACCCCACGATTCTCTCCTGTTCGCTCTGTGGAACTGGTTGAGATTCCTTAGATGGATCGTAGTATTCACCGTTGAGTGTAACCTGTACGTTGAAACCAAACATAGTCGGTTGTTGAACTCTTAGCTGACTCAGACCCAGTGGAATAGACGAGGGTTGGGTCAGAAACCTGAAAGTTTCGTTACACCGTGCGCGCACTAGGGGTTTCTGCTACCACTGTACAGCTTTTAACGAGCTAAATATCATATTTTAAACGCAGGTTCATGTATATTCTGAGGCACGATATTCAGTGAAACGGGAAGGAATACCGTCAATGGAAGTTTCCGACTGCTATTCATAGGCGTGTT